AGAGAGCGAGAGAGAGCGAGAAAGAGCGAGCGAGCGATTGAGTGAGAGCATGATAACAGAGCTGGATTCGGATCGTTCTTTTAGGGATCCCCAAACGGGATCCCCGAATTACCGAACCATCATGTGTAGGTTTCCCGTGCCGAAATGAAACAGCTTTGGAGAGTGACGAAGTGACACGGCCGGCTTAGGTGGAGGCTTCTTCAAAACAAGGCCTGCGAGTCGTCGACGCCATGGCCATGTCAACAGTGGATGCGGGTACGTCTAGTGCTTCTCAGCGTCCACTTGCATGGGCGTACATTCCACATACAAAGATCCCTTCATCAAGCATTTCCGAAATATAGACTGTAAAACATGAGCTGTAGACTACGGCAATTCCGTGCATTTGCTGGAAGACCTGCTGCACAAGATAGTCTGTGGACATCGCAACGCTTCTTCCATGAAAGTGGGCACTGGGTTGGATGATGAAGACCCCCCGCAACTAGTCTCAGGAAACTTTTCCTCGCCGGTTGGCCCTCCTTCAGGTCGCGTTGCCTGGATAACAAAGCTGCACTTAAACAATTCAATTCCTGCTTTGCAGGCCAGCATAAAAGCGCTACTTCTCCCAAGACACATCCAGCATGCAGCCTGCTGTGATGTCGGGTGTTGCAGAAGCACCACTTAGGGGACTCCTGATAGCAAGGTCTTGCAAAAGCAAAACGGCCTGCGGTTGGCGCTGTTCACGGAGCTGCAGTCCACCTGCGAAGCCGCTGTGTTCGGATCCCAGTAGTAACATTTGTTCCCCGATAAGAATGGAGTCCCCGCATTGTTTCGGGAAGGGTCGCCGGAGTTCACCGTGCAGACAATGCCGAGCTCCCATGCCAAATCCACGATTGCCTGTGTATTGTTGATTGCGGCCATCTCTTCCTCTCCACACTCTGCATAGCCGTTGTCATTGCAAACCGTGTCGCATGGTACGTTATTTGTGGCACCTGTGAACCACCCCCCATCTGGATCCGCCTTGCTCTGGAAAGAACACATGCACAAAGCTCAGCAGTGCTGTTTGCATGCCACACAGTCACGCAGACAACCAAACCCAAATGCCGTCAAGGTGCTGGCTCAACCTGAGACAGGAAGCACAGAGCAAATTGGTTTCAGACGTATCGCGAGGCTTGCACAACTGCTCTGTGCCACCGAGAAACAGGCTTGCAGTAGCACAAAGGCTTGCGGGAGGGATTGGACGGAGGCGTGTCGCAGTCAATAGACGCAGGCGGCTTATCCGGGTCCCAGTAGTAGCAGTCACCGTTCACAAGGATGAACGGAGATCCTGCATTGCTCCTGAAAAGGTTCCCGTTATCTGCGAAGCCGCACGTACCGTTGAGGCTCACCAGCAGATCGGAGATTGCCTGTGAGGAGTTGATGGCACCCATCTCATCCTTTCCACACTCGAAACTGTCATCCGCCGTGTCGAAGGCACTGCAAGCCGAATTGCAAGTCTGGCCGGCACTGGCCATGATCCAGAAAGGTTGCACCTGCACCAGGTTGCAGGAAACAGCCGAAGTCGGGTTGTACTGTGCTGCTTATTCGGTTCGTTCTGTGACTTCGCACACAGTCAGGAACCTAAGGACTTTGCCAAAACACAACTCTCAAGCACCGAAAACTTGGGCTTTGTGCTCGCCCCGAGACGAAGTCAACCTCGAGAGAAGCCATCAAGGACTTCCCAAACACTTTTTCAAACCCTGCTCTCTCTTCCACGCAAGCCGAGTGACCGCAGTTGTAGTAGTCACCGTCGTGCTCGGCGCCTTGCAGCCAGAGCTGTCCGAAAGAATATACAAAGGGGCTGCCCTACTCTGCTACTATTACTATAATACACTATAACATATGCCATAATACACTATAATACCATAACAGACTACAGAAACTGATACAGGCGCTCCACAAAGGCAGAGCAGCGACCGGCCTTCGGCCCGTAGTAGCTCCGAACATGACCACGACGAGCCCAGTGGTTTCGACGATACCAGCGCTGTCCCGGCTCCTCAGCTTTCGGAGACACGCTCCCAGCTCTGCCAGCACTCTTCTCAAGAATAATGCTGTTGCTTCGGATCGTGGGTTGGCACCGTTGGGAATTTCAGGGGTCCTGAACCGCTTCGAATCGAATCGAACCCGTGGTTTCTTGCAAGCTGTACATGAACGGGACGCCGACCGGAAAGGCTGGTTTTTCCATTGGTTTGGGAAAGCAACAGGGGCACCTGTGGTGCACGTACCATGTAGTTCACATGCATCGCACGCCTCACAACTTGATTTGCGCCTGGTTTTGGATGGACTGTCCGACTGGCACCAGTGAATCGGATTGCATCCGTTGCTCTATGCGTATGCCAAGGAGCCATCCTAGCTTGCAAAGCTGCCAACTCGTCGGTGTGATCTGCTGGCAAGTCCGTAACAACCTGGCTCCTGTAATTGCGGATGCAGGTGTTAGGCTCTGCTCATATTTGAGACTATCCTGGGCGAATAATGGTTGCAAAGAAATGCTGAACCAGGCTTTGCATTGGATTGCTTCCCGAACAGGCCTGCAAGTGCCCTGCTCACTGCCATCGCAACCAGAGTGCTGTGACATGGAAGCGACGCATGTCACCTGAGGTGGGCAACTCCAAACGAAGAGGCCGAGGCCTCTTTGGGACTTTTAGGGCTCGTAGGGCTCGCCTCCCGAGTGCTGGCCGAGGCACCTCAAAAACCACCAGGAGTGGCGCAAACGAAAAGCCGTAAACCATACCGCTTGGCAAGGCCGGGGACGCAGGTCCTTAGGTTGCTTTTCCTTTGAGACCAAAATGGCTACGAGCAGCTACGAGCATTCGCATGTCAGCATGACCCTCTCTCGGTCCTTGCTTTTGTCCTTTCCTTTCTTTTTCCTTTTCCCTTCTTTCCTTTTCGTTTGCCCTTCTCAAAGGCAGCCACCAACTCATCGGACCACGCCGCCTTGCCCATCTCTTTCTCATACAATGAGAAACTTGATCGACGCAAGGACCTGTTTAAGGGTCGACTTTTCCCATGCCAAAGCACACGTGTTTGCAGCTGAACAAGAAAGAAAAATCAGGTTCAAAACCTGGAGGTTGCGCCCCTCCAACCCTCCCGCCTTTCCACATCCGCCCTTCCACACACAAAAAGAGAAAGCCACACGAAAAACGCTTTTCGGGGCTTCAACTTAACGAAGAAAAGAAATCTAGACCTGACATCTTTCCAAAATCAAACGAGAAAGTCACACGACTTTTGGAAGCTGAAAACGGATGGAAAGCTCAGGGCGGGAACGGGCCTTGGTAGGAAATGTTAAGCTGGAAAAAGCCTGGCGTAGAAAACGCTTCTTTCGCACAAAACGAGGCCGTTGGCAGGAAGTAGTTCTGGAACGGAAACAGCTCAGACGACGAAAGGACAAAGCCAGGACAAGAAATGGCGCAAGACAGGAAACTACGTGCAAGACAGGCTAAAAACGTAAACTCTGTAAAGAAAACGATCTCCGGCTGTGGAAGGTGCAGAAACTCTCCTTTGCACTCTGCACTGTTGGCTTTCAAACACGGAGCGCACTGTCATGGTTCAAGGTGAAAGTTTCGGGCCTTAGGGTTGCCAGCGTCCTCGCCATGGTTTGGCCCCCTCC